GTTCCCTAAATTAATAATAATATAATACTACTCCCTGACACCACCCCCCACCATCCCCTACCACTCCACGACACCACCCCCACCACTCCCCGACACCACCCCCTACCACTCCCCGACACCACCCCCTACCACTCCCCGACACCACCCCCTACCACTCCCCGACACCACCCCCTACCACTCCCCGACGCCACCCCCCACCATCCCCTACCACTCCACTTCAGTTCCCTAAATTAATAATAATTATTATAATAATGATACAGCTTCAGTTCCCTAAATTAATAATAGTAATGCATAATACTTGTGAAAATTTGTCTGGACTGCCTCCAAGTGAGTCACCTACCCTGGCAAGCTCTATTGACACCGAGCTCTGAGGTCGGTACCTCAGCCTCACAAGTGGCTTATAGGACAGATTTTCATAAATGATTGATGTTGCAAGAAACTCGCCTGCATGCATGTATAAAGGACTAACTAACTTGGTGTTGTAGCATATATCCTGATCTTCAACCTTCCTAAGCTTAGCCCCTTTGGACTTCCCCTCAGAAACCACGTGCAACCGGGAGCCTTAATTCCTGCAATATTCAATCGTTATTAGTGACCTGCCTGCACCTCAGAAATTCCTATATCCAAGGGGGTGTGTATCCCCTAGTACAACTATGCAGACACGGACACTAGCTTCTAGGTAGACAAGAGACACTGGTACGTACTGGGCATGCACTGCCAGCTGCACACAGGCCTACAGATCAACTCGCTCACAATTTTCCCCAGACACTGGCCAGAAATCCTAAGAGAAAGTGGAGGTTTTGTCTTACTGTATGGGCCTGACGGAGGAGGTCATCTACGGTACATCGAGGTGCCTCTACCAGATTTCCCCAGGTCTCAAATGTGAAGACACGTGGGGGGCGCCATCTGCTGATCACGGCACGTGTTGTCCAGGTGATGTCTGGTCAAAGAAGGACGCTATTGTGTCTTTGAGACCCGCGCCTCGTAGTTCAAACTAGGGCTGCCAATTCTCCCTAGCTAACTTAACCTAGTGTTTGCCTACATTATCGGCCTATTACTACCTATGTTAAGGTCTTAGGTCTACATTATTATTATCTACAGTTGCCTCAATAATCCTAATATTAGTGTACTAACAGTAAACTACCTACTTCTTCCCTGAAGGGTAAATCTATAAATTAATAAGTGCCTACCATCCACGCCAACTCAGGAGAGAACGCTTTTGTTTGAGTTGGGTGTAAGGGCCACCCAGCTCGGCTGTTCCATTACGGCCATGCTGGGACCCCTTTGTACGCTGTATCTGTCCTGTGGAACTTTAGGGACCAAATAAATTTCCACAATACGTATGTAATAATAAGTCAGATTGCTTCTGCTAGTTGGCACAGCTGGTAAGCAGTAAACATGTTTACATCCTTTTGGGGGGCAGTTCTCTCGTGCTTGTTCGCATTTTTTTTTTACAGTCATTTGGTCAAATTTCTTTTTTCTAACCATGGGGCCTAGTGATCTACTGCAGTTGGCCTCAAAAATACTCCGTTTTCTCTTACAGTAAGAACGTGGGAAGATAGTATAGTCAAATTGTGAGAGAAATGGTCGACTGCCGCTGCCACTTCCTCTGCCACCATATTATGGTCTATTCTGTTCATTCTGGAGTATAATCATGTTTCTGTGCTAATTATATTGTTTATTATGTCATATTAGATGAATTGTGATAGATACTAGCAGCATATTTAAGTATTTTTTCTCCTCTCTAGAGTGCAGGAAGGAATTAATGGCTTTTCAGTTAATTTAAATGAGGAAAATTAATTTGATATATGAGTAAATCGGGTTACGAGCTAGCTCCTGGAACGGATTAAACTCGTAAGTCAAGGTTCCACTGTACAACTAAGTAATGCTACAATGTTCAAATTTTAATGGCTCAAAAGGTAATCAGGCAAAAACTACTTAATTCAGAGAGAGACCTCTAAGTATAGACTACCTGGTAGACCATACCTACTAGGTTTAGTCTACCTGGTAGACTATACAGTGGACCCCCGGTTAACGATTTTAATCCGTGCAAGAGGGATAATTGTTATGCGAAATAATCGTTATGCGAATGAATTTTCCCCATAAGAAATAATGGAAATAAAATTAATCCGTGCAAGACGCCCAAAAGTATGAAAAAAAATTTTTTTTACCACATGAAATGTTAATTTTAATACACACAAACTGAAAAAGGCATGCACAATTACATGACACTTACTTTTATTGAAGATCTGGTGATGATTGATGGGATGGGAGGAGGGGAGAGCATTATCTTCTTACTGTTTAGAAGGGGAATCCCCTTCCATTAGGACTTGAGGTAGTAAGTCCTTTTCTGGGGTTACTTCCCTTCTTTTTTTAATGCCACTAGGGCCAGCTTCAGAGTCACTGGACTTCTTTCGCACAAGATATCTGTCCATAGTGGCCTGTACCTCTCGTTCCTTTATGACTTGCCTAAAGTGTTTCACAACATTGTCAGTGTAATAATCACCAGCACGGCTTGCAATAGCTGTGTGAGGGTGATTTTCATCCATGAAGGTTTGCACTTCAAGCCACTTTGCACAGATTTCCTTTATCTTTGTAGTAGGCAACTTCTTCAATTTCCTCTCCCTCCTCTGAACCAGTTTCCCCAGGTCTGGCCTCTTGCTCTTGAAGTTGATCTATCAGCTCATCAGTGGTTAGTTCTTCATTGTCCTCCTCCACCAACTCTTCCACATCCTCCCCACTAACCTCCAACCCCAAGGACTTTCCCAATGCCACAATGGATTCCTCAACTGGCACAGGATTCTCAGGGTTAGCCTCAAACCCTTCAAAATCCCTTTTGTCTACACATTCTGGCCACAGTTTCTTCCAAGCAGAGTTCAAGGTCCTCTTAGTCACTTCCTCCCAAGCCTTACCTATAAGGTTTACACAATTGAGGATATTAAAGTGATCTCTCCAAAACTCTCTTAGAGTCAGTTGAGTTTCTGAGGTCATTACAAAAACACCTTTCAAACAGAGCTTTTTTTGTACAGTTTCTTGAAGTTGAAATAACCTGCTGGTCCATGGGCTGCAGGAGAGGAGTGGTATTAGGAGGCAAAAACTTCACCTTAATGAAGCTCATGTCCCCATAAAGTCGCTCTGCCACGTCTGTAGGATGACCAGGGGCATTGTCTAACACCAGGAGCACTTAAGTTCAATTTCTTTTCAGTTAGGTAATTTTTCACTTTGGGGGGCAAATGCATGGTGTAACCATTTATAGAAAAATTCCCTAGTGACCCATGCCTTACTGTTTTGCCCTCCACAGCACACACAAATTATCCTTGAGGACATTCTTTTGCCTGAACGCTCTGAGTTTCAGAGTGTTTACACTAATAAAGGCTCACTTTGCAATCACCAGTAGCATTGGCACACATCAACAAAGTAACCCTGTCTTTCATAGGCTTATGTCCTGGGAGTGCCTTTTCCTCCTGAGTAATGTAGGCCCTGCTTGGCTTTTCTTCCAGAACAGGCTGTTTCATCACAATTAAACACTTGTTCGGGTTTTCCCAGTCCTTCAGTTTCTATGTACTCCTTGAATTCCTGCACATATTTTTTCCAGCCGCTTTGTGGTCCGAACGGGCACCCTTTCCCCAAATGCCTTACCCAACACTATGGATGCCACTACGCTTCTTAATCTCTCAAACCAACCTTTGCTGGCCTTAAATTCACTCACATCATCACTAGTTCCCAGGCATTTTTTTAATTAAATCCTCATGCAACTTCCTAGCCTTTCACATATGATCGCTTGAGAGATGCTATCTCCTGCTACTGTTTTTTCATTTATCCACACCAATAAGAGTCTCTCAACATCTTCCATCACTTGCGATCTTTGTTCGAAAACACAGTTGAACCTTTGGCAAGAACAGCTTCCTTGATTGCTTTCGGGTGCCCACAATAGTAGCGAGGGTTGATTGGGGTTTCTTGTACGCTTGACTAGGTCGGCTATACGCACTCCACTTTCATACTTATCAATTATCTCTTTCTTCATTTCTATAGTAATTCTTACCTTTGAGGTGTAGGGTTTTGGGACTAGAAGCTTTCTTGAGGCCCATGGTCACTTATTTCCAGAAACAGCACCGAAAATACTGTAATAATACGAAATATTCCGAGTGTATGCTTGGATGTTACCGCGGAGGCTGGCTGGTAAACAATGGGACGGGCGGCACATGTGAGGCTGGCTGAGGGCACTTGGACGCGTCTCGGACGAAAATCGTGAGCGGGTTTTTAATCGGTAATTGGCGGCAAAAATTTTGCGATAAAAGTAATCGGTATGCGGAAAAATCGCTATGTGATGCCATCGTTATGCGGGGGTCCACTGTACCTACTAGGTACAGTGGACCCCTGCTTAACGATCACCTCCCAATGCGACCAATTATGTAAGTGTATTTATGTAAGTGCGTTTGTACGTGTATGTTTGGGGGTCTGAAATGGACTAATCTACTTCACAATATTCCTTATGGGAACAAATTCGGTCAGTACTGGCACCTGAACATACTTCTGGAATGAAAAAATATCGTTAACCGGGGGTCCACTGTATAGTCTACATAATTTTCATCCTCAAAGCAAATAAATACATGTTAAGGGTTCTTGTGAAAGCAGAATGTGTGCTTGCCCAACAATAATGTGGTGTTAACAGCTTCTCACTAGACATGCATGGGGAAAAAAATGCATTTTCTTGTGCTGTAGCATTTGTGTGAGCAAAATTAGCTACATACAGTGTTACTATTGTACAGTACCAGTATCTTGAAACCTAACATAAAAAAATTACTCTAACTTTTTCACTTTCACTATAAGATATGTTTTGTGTAATCTTAAAATTTATTTAGTGTTTAAATATGGGCAAGTTATTTAATTTTTGTGTCGTGTTGAATTTTATTTAACGTATGTGGAAGATGAAATAGCTATTCAGAGAAATTTTATGTATTGAATTCCATTAGTAAACTGTTTTTGTTTTAAATTTTTATTCATTAAGGTAGCTGGCTATATAAGTTTAATATGATTCCTTCTGTTTCAGGCTGATTGGAAGAAATATTTCAAGCACTTATGCTAAATTGGAGAAATTAACACATTGTAAGTAAGATTGATTTTTCAGTAGTTTTTTTTTTTAATACTGTTTATTATCTACCAAGGCAAGGTGGCCTGGAATAGGGTGGTCTGAAAATTAAAAGTTGAAATTTTAATTGAGAGATGTCACCCTAATACAGTGGTCCCTCATTTATCGTCATTAATCCTTTCTTGGAAGTGCGACGATTATCGAAATAGACAATTTTCGAATCAATTTTCCCCATGAGAAATAATGTAAAATCGAAATAGACAATTTTCGAATCAATTTTCCCCATGAGAAATAATGTAAAATCGAAATAGACAATTTTCGAATCAATTTTCCCCATAAGAAATAATGTAAATACATTGTACAATTAATCCGTTCCTGACACCCAGAAATGTTAAAACAAATTTTTTTACATGAAATATAAATGAAGTACATAAACAGTACAATGGGACATGATGAATGAAACATTAACAGCATAACACTTACCTTTATTGGCGATTCTTCTTAGTGTATGGAAGACTGGAGGAGGAGAGAGATTGGATTAGTTATTGTTTGGAAAGGGAATCCCCTTTCATCAACACCTCAGGTACCAAGTCCTTTTCTGAGGTTCTATTCTCTGTTTCTTAATGCCACTAGGACCAGCTTGAGAGTCACTGGCATCTTTAAAACTTCCCTAAAATGGGCCAAGACTCTGTCACTGTACAAGTTGCCGATATGGCTTGCAACATCCTTCTCAGGGTGTTTCTTCTCCATAAATCTTTCCATCCTACCCCACATTTCAAAAATCTCCTTAATTTCTGAAGAAGGCACCTTCTTCCATCTCTCTTCCTCCTCCAGCAAGATTCTGAGCTGTGATCTGTTGCTGTTCCTGCTGAAGCTCTTACAGCTCCTCAGCGGTGAGCTCTTCGTTGTGGTCCTCCACCAACTCTTCCACATCCTCCAAACTCACATCCAACCCCATGGAACTCCCCAATGCCACAATAGATTTCATAACTGACATAGGCTCATCAGGGTCAGCCACAAACTCTTCAAAATCCCCCTTGTGGACATAGTCTGGCCACAATTTTCTCCAAGCAACAACAGCTTCCTTGATTTCCTTTTTCTTTGCCACGATGGAAGATATGGTTGTATGGGTTTTGTTATACATCCTGGCCAGTTCGGCCACACGTACGCCACTTTCATATTGTTCAATGATGATTTTCTTAAATTCAATCATATTTCTCACCTTCTTTACCAAAGGCTTGGCACTAGGAGCTTTCTTTGAAGCCATGGTAGCTTATTTAGCACTTGTAAGCACTAAAATGAATGGAATGTTATGAAATATTTCGTATGAACAAGTGAGGGGACTGTTGCTCGCTGGTAAACAATGGCACACTGGCTGGGAAGGGAGGCCGAGGCGGCTCAGAGCCGTGAGTGCGCATCGTCCAGGACGAACCAATGTGAGCCAATGTTTGGACGAAAATAAAGCGACGATTTCCGAAAAGGACGACTATCGAGCCCGACGATTATCGAGGGACCACTGTACCTCTATCAAACATATCTTCAGGTGAAATTTTAGTTTAGCACCAGATGAGCCTGACCCATGGCCGGGCTCCGAGAGTAGTAAGACTCGAAAGTCATCAAGGGTACATAATATAATAATGATCATTGGTCCCTCTGGAATTTGGGTTCCAGTCATTATGACAAACTAGAAAAAATGAACAGCATTATGTTTCAGGAATACAGCTTTTGATTGGAGGGCATGTCCTTCCTGTATTCAGTTAAAATTTTCAGGAGGTACTGCTTCTGGGTCTCATATTTGGAGATGGATGAATTGGTGAATGAAAACACTAATGCAGTGTAATGTAATCCTTTATTGACAGTATTTCAACCACACAGTGGGCTTTATCAAGTCACAAACAGATCTACCTGGAGAGAGAGGATCTCTTTATATATAGGAACGAAGTGATAATTTTAGACATCCAATACAAATATGTAGCTTTAAAAAATCAAAGGAAATCCACAGTTCTTTAGAATATAGATGCGACCAAAAACACAATGTTTTGCATCACTAAACCTCGTCAAATTCTCTTCAAATTTGCTGCAGAGATGCTGTATATAAAGTGGAATGAGAGCACTATGTGCCTAGAATTCAAACAATTTTCAATTTTACCCCTATAATAATAATAATGGGGGAGTGCTAAACCCATAGGATTATACAGCACATGTGGGGGGGATGGAAGGTATTCAGGCTCAATTCAGGGAACTAGAGCACAGATCCAGTTCCCTAGATCAAGAACCCCTCACCAATGTCAAAGAACCTCCCTTGAGGGATTTACCCCTATAAATGTGGACCACCCTACCATAGAAGGAAAATTTTCACTCATTCCCAGTTGCCTTTCCATAAGAGCAAGGTCACCATAATTTCAGCGAGCCATTGATCCAATGATTCATCCAATAATTCAGTGATCAAATAGTTTATTAATCCAGTGTTAAACCAGAGTAAATTTTACAGTACAGTAAAAAACCAGGAGTTCAGATTGATCAGGGCCAGAAGCATTCTGAACTTGCTGTTCATCCAGCTTATAAGCCATGAAAATACGAAGGAAATTTTCCAACACAAGCACTTCAGTACTGCTCAAAAAATGGTACTTACCAAAGCCTGTAGTTCTTATCTTGGACATGTGCTCTGATTCCTTGAATCAAGCTTGAATGACTTCGATTTTCCCAGGTGCTGTGTGACCCCTATGAGTATAGTGCTTCCTCCATGATTATAATGTTATTTTGTAAAGAAAAAAAAGAGGGGGGGGGGCAAGTAAATTGTCAGTCACATGGTGTTGGGTATACCTACAATGTATATTAGAGCTCACTTCTTTACTTACTATTAATTAATTTAATGTTTTGCTGAGCACCATCATGTAAATGAAATGGGTAAAGTTATCAGACTATATATCGGCATTAAACACCAAAATCCCTTGTAAAATTTGATAACTCCTATCTCAGTGCTCTGCTCAGCATAAAGTGTACCCACCTCAGTATCATTTTATCACACTTGCTAGTAATTGCATATATGCTTTATTATGCACTAGCATATACACAAGGCTTATTGCTATAAGTATTGCCATAATTGTGTGTAACTGTCATAATTACAGTGGACCCCCAGATTTCGTAATATTCGGATATACTAGTAATGGTTTTTTGTCAAAATACAGTATTGGCTCAGTGATCGTCATTTAGCTCAGTAAGTCATTCATCCCAAACATGTCCGAGCGGCCCGACACACATTTACAGTTAATGTCATTGTTTATCAGCCAGTGAGCACGATCCCACACGTTCATACGATACATTTCGTAATATCCCATTTGTTTTAGGCAACCGTGGGCCAAAAGAAAGCTGCAAGTGCCAGCCCTCTGGTAAAGAAGGCGATAAACACGATAAAATTCAAGAAAAAACACACCAGCCAGGGTACTTCCCCACATGCACCAGCCAGGGTACTTCCCCCCACACACGATTTGATTTGAGTGGGACTTGCACATGAGTGAATTGAATTATCAAAGCTTATTGCTTGGGAAGCATTGAAAATTGGGTTGGGCAAATACGATTCTGTTAGTGGGATTGTTTGTGAAGAACCTGCCTAGTATGGGCCAACAGGCCTGCTGCAGTGTTCCTGCTTTCTTATGTTCACCATTATTATTATTATTATAATCAAAAAGAAGCACTAAGCCTATGTACACCAGCTGAGGAAATTGCTTCAGAGAAAGAGAGAGGGAAGAAAGTGCCTTCTTCAAAGATTAAGGACATTTGTGCAAAGTGGAGTGAGGTGCAAACATTTGTGGAGGAACATGACCCTCTCCCCTCCTCCCATCTTCCATACACCAACAAGAGTCTTCAATAAAGATAAGTGTGATATTATTGTTTTATACTCGATTTCTCATTCTTTTCTGTATGTAAATCTATATTTAATCTATAAAAATAATTTTTGGTAATACTTTTGGGTGTTGCAGTTTGTTGCAGTTTAAAAACTGTAGTGTAAAGCACCCTTCTGGCAAGACAGTGATGGAGTGAATGATGGTGAAAGTTTTTCTTTTTCGGGCCACCCTGCCTTGGTGGGAATCGGCCAGTGTGATAATAATAAAAAAAAACTTTTGGGTGTTTGGAATGGATTAATTGGATTTACATTTTTTTTGTGGGAAAAATTAATTCGGAAATACATAGTCAGATTCAGATTTAGGCACTCTCTGGAATGGATTAATTACGATAACGAGGGGTCCACTGTACTTTTAAATGAGTAAAATACAATGGAATACCTGTACAAGCAAAGTCAACAGGCAAAAGGTGCCATCCTCATTCTTTTTTATCAAACCTGGCTGAACAGGGCAGCATTTAACTCCTTATGACTTAATCAGAAGTTCTGTGACCAAATTTTTAACCAAAATTTACTTCAAAATGTTAGAATTTATCTGAACTATCAAACTAACACAATTATCCGAGTACCCATACAAATAAGTATTCTTTGAAGAATCAGGTAGTGAATTTTATTTGTTTGACTGTAGTACACTATTTTTACATTCTCCTTGCTTGTGTATTGCTAGTTTTTCTATAAAACACACTACACAGCATTTTTTTTAATGTCAAATAATGGTTAGCTGCAGAAGTTTGGGAATTAAGATTTGTAAATACATAATTTTTTCTTGATTTTAGTTTCTCATTTCATATTTACCAGTTCACATTATATAACCATTTTGAATTGTATTACTCTTTAGTATGCCACAGGTATAGTTTGAGCATCATTCTTGGTACATTTTATATGAATGATAAACATAACCTGCTTTAAGTAAATATGCTAAAAAAAAGCAAGTACTCTACTGTGGTCCATTAAACAACCCATGGGCGAGTTTTTAAACTATCAACTCGATATGTCTTTTATAACCAACACTGTTTTTGGCATTAATAGCACAACTTCCTGCTTACAGTGGCAAAGAAACGATCACTCTTTGATGATAGCAATGACCGAGAGATCCAAGAATTAACAGGAATCATTCGGCATGACTTGACTTCCCTCACAAAACAACTTAGTGATGTGCGTAATCGGTCTTGCATTGCTTCTCCAACTGGCAACAATGCTCACCTTCAGAAACACTCCACAAATTTAGTAGGATCATTACAAAGCAAGGTTGCTTCTATAACTCGAATGTTCAAGGATGTTCTGGAAGTTCGGACAGAGGTTAGTAAGCTACTATGTATGTCTTCAAAATGGTTTGAAGCCTTTGCCAGGGCATATTCTTTGGTTCGGTTCATTTTTAGCCTTTTGTATAATTATATGTTGTATCTTGTCAATTTAGCCCCCATTTACAACTTAATATAATGAAATCCATTTAACAAATGAATCAACACAAACATTGTGTCATGACTGTTCCCTGTATTTATCAATTAGAATCATCATTTTAAATCACAAGCTGTTCTTTTAGTCTGTCTTTACCACTCTTTTTCTTATTCGTTCTCCCATTTCCTCTTTTTTCCATTTGCCGCCTCCTTTCTCTCCTCCCAGCTTCTTGTGCCTTTCTGCCTCTTCCTACCCTCTCTCCCTCTCCATTTTATCAGTTGTCCCCACACTCTTGCCTCCTTTCTCCTGTTTTCGGGAGGGTATCTTGTCACTGCTAAAGTGCTCTTGACAAGGAAATTGCACTGAATTATTCACTACCATTCCTTGGCTCAAATCTAATAATTCCACATCTTCTTTAAAAATTTTCATTACATTACGAAGGATTTCTGTAATGTATCTATGACATTTGGAATTTAAATTATATATAGGTCATGGAATGTAACTTATGGGTTTTGAATTGTTTTAATCCATTGTAGTAATGATTTCTGGAATATGGCACCAAATTTATCAAAATAGCACATGGACACTTAACTAATGATGGTGACAGACTGATTATTGGAAGAAGCATCTTCCAGCACACCTTACTTTCTACATTTTATTTTTTTTCCTCAACAAGTTGGCCGTCTCCCACCGAGGCATGGTGACCCAATAAGACAGAAAATCCCCAAAAAGAAAATACTTTCATCATCATTCAACACTTTCACTTCACTCATACATAATCACTTTTGGAAAAGGTGCCCAGATACAACACTTTAGAGGCATATGCTATAAAGATATATAACAATTCCCTCCAAACTGCCAATATTCCAAACCCCTCCTTTAAAGTGCAGGCATTGTACTTCCCATTTCCAATACTCAAGTCCAGGTATATAAAAATAACCTGTTTCCCTGAATCCCTTCACTAAATATTACCCTGCTCACACTCCAACAGCTCGTCAGGTCCCAAAAACCATTCATCTCCACTCATTCCTATCTAACACGGTCACGCACACTTGCTGGAAGTCCAAGCTCCTCGCCCACAAAACCTCCTTTATCCCCTTCCTCCAACCTTCTCAAGGACAACCCCTACCCCGCCTTCCTTCCCCTACAGATTTATACACTCTCCATGTCATTCTAATTTGATCCATTTTCTCTAAATGACCACACCACCTCAACAACCCCTCTTCAGCCCTCTGACTATTACTTTTATTAACTCCACACCTTCTCCTAATTTCCACACTCCAAATTTTCTGCATAATACTTACACCACACATTGCCCTTAGACAGGACATATCCACTGCCTCCAACCGCCTCCTCGCTGCAGCATTTACAACCCAAGCTTCACACCCATATAAGAGTATTGGTACCACTATACTTTCATACATGCCCTTCTTTGCCTCCATAGATAACGTTTTTTGTCTCCACATATACCTCAACGCACCACATGCCTTTTTTTTCTTCGTCAATTCTATGATTAACCTCATCCTTCATAAACCCATCCGCTGACACATCAACTCTCAAATATCCAAAAACATTCACTTCTCCCATACTCTCTCTCTCTAGTGTGATATCCAACTTTTCTTTCTCTGAATCATTTGATGCCCTCATCACCTTACTCTTTTCTATGTTCACTTTCAACTGTCTACCTTTACACACCCAAACTCATCCGCTAACCTTTGCAACTTTTCTTTAGAATCTCCCATAAGCACAGTATCATCAGCAAAAAGTAACAGTGTCAACTCCCATTTTGTATCTGATTCCCCATAATTTAATCCCACCCCTCTCCTGAACACCCTAGCATTTACTTCTTTTACAACCCCATTTTAAATATATTAAACAACCATGGTGACATTACACATCCCTGTTTAAGACCTACTTTTACTGGGAAGTAATCTTCCTCTCTTTTACACACCCTAACCTGAGTCTCACTATCCTCATAAAAACTCTTTAACAGCATTTAGTAACTTACTACCTATTCCATATACTTACATCTGCCACATTGCTCCCATATCCACTCTATCATGCCTTTTCTAAATCCATAAATGCCGTGAATACTTCCCTACCTTTATCTAAACACTCTTCACATAAAACCTCTAAAACCTCCTTATTCATCCGCCTTCTTTCAATAATAACCCTACCGTACACTTTTCCTTTTTTTTTTTTTTTTTTTTTTTTTAAACAAACCGGCCATATCCCACCAAGGCAGGGTGGCCCAAAAAGAGAAACGAAAGTTTTTCTTTTTAAATTTAGTACATGTAATTTGTACAGGAGAAGGGGTTACTAGCCCCTTCCTCTCGGCATTTTAGTCGCCTCTCTCAACACGCATGGCTTACGGAGGAAGAATTCTGTTCCACTTCCCCATGCAGATAAGAGGAAATAAACAAGAACAAGAACTAGAAAGAAAATAGAAGAAAATCCAGAGGGGTGTGCATATAAATACTTGTACATGTATGTGAAGTGTGACCTAAGTGCAAGAAGTAGCAAGACGTACGTACCTGAAATCTTCCATGTTTATGAGACAGAAAAAAGACACCAGTAATCCTACCATCATGTAAAACAATTACAGGTTTCCATTTTACACTCGCTTGGCAGGACAGTAGTACCTCCCTGGGCGATTGCTGTCTACCAACCTACTACCTAGGGCTTTTCCTGGTAAACTTATTTCCCTATAATTTTTACAATCTCTAGGTACCCTCCCATCTTTCACACATTTATTAAACAAAAATACCAACCACTCCAACACTATACACCCCCCCCCCCTACTTTTAACATTTGTCATGATCCTGTCGGTTCCAGCTGCTTTACCCCCTTTCATTCTACATAATGCCTCACGCACCTTCCCCATACTCGCATCCTACTCTTCTTTACTCCTAAAAGATGTTATACCTTCCTGGCCAGTGCATGAAATTATCGCCTCCCTTTCTTCATCAACATTTAAAAGTTCCTCAAAATATTCTCGCCATCTACCCAAAACCTGCATCTCCCCATCTACTAACTCCCCTACTCTGTTTTTAACTGACAAATCCATTCGTTTCCTAGGCTTTCTCAACTTGTTTATTTCACTCGAAAAATTTTTCTTATTTTCATCAAAATTTCTTGACAGTGCCTCTCACTCTATCATCTGCTCTCCTTTTGCACTCTCTCACTACTCTCTTCACCTTTCTTTTACTCTCCATATACTCTGCTCTTCTTATAACACTTCTGCTTTGTAAAAACCTCTCATAGGCTACCTTTTTCTCTCTTATCACACCTTTTACTTCATCACTCCTCTTTCCTCCTGCACCCACCTTGTGATAGCCACAAACTTCTGCCCCACATTTTAATACTGCATTTTTAAAACTATTCCAACCCTCTTCAACCCCCCACTACTCATATTTGCACTAGCCCACCTTTCTGCCAATAGTTGCTGATATCTCACCCTAACTTCCTCCTCCTCTAGTTTATTTACTTTCACCTGTCTCTTACTTGTTGCCATTTTCCTTTTGTCCCATCTACCTCTTACTCTGACTCACGAAATTGTAATGACATGATTGCAAACAAACCATACCACGGGCGGGATTGAACCCGCGGTCAGAGTCGCAAAACTCCAGACCGTCGCGTTAGCCACTGGACCAGCTAGCCACAATAAGATTCGTCCAACTAGGCATATTTCTACACCATAGGAAGGTTAGCATAGGCACCACTGTGACCACAAATGCAAGTTTTTACAGACGAATCTCCAGCCTATGCTAACCTTCCTATGGTGTAGAAATATACCTAGTTGGACGAGTCTTATTGTGGCTAGCTGGTCCAGTGGCTAACGTGATGGTCTGGAGTTTTGAGACTCTGACTGCGGGTTCAATCCCGCCCGTGGTATGGTTTGTTTGCAATTGTGTCATTACGATTTCGTGAGTCATGTTGACGGCATTGAGGGGACTTGAGCTAGAGTTCGTCACGGCCACGCTAGCTGAAGATTCGTCTGTAAAAACTTGCATTTGTGGTCACAGTGGTGCCTATGCTAACCTTCCTATGGTGTAGAAATATACCTAGTTGGACGAATCTTATTGTGGCTAGCTGGTCCATTGGCTAACACGACTGTCTGGAGTTTTGAGACTCTCTGACCACGGGTTTAATCCCACCCATGGTATGGTTTACCTCTTACTCTAACTGTAGCTACAACTAAGTAATGATCAGATATATCAGTTGCCCTTCTGTAAATGTATATCCTGAAGCCTACCCATCAGCCTTTTATCCACCAATACATAATCTAACAAACTACTTTCCTTATGTGCTATATCATACCTTGTATACTTATTTATCCTCTTTTTTATAAAATATGTATTACTTATTACCAAACCTCTTTCTACACATAGCTCAATTAAAGGCTCCCCATTTTCATTTACCCTTGGGACCCCAAATTTACCTACTACTCCCTCCACATTTCTACCCGCTTTAGCATTGAAATCCCCAACCACAAGTACTCTCACACTTGGTTCAAAACTCCCCACACACTCGCTCAACATTTCCCAAAATCTCTCTCTACACCTCTCTCTTCTCCAGGTGCATAAATGCTTACTGTAACCCACTTTTCACATCCAACCCTTATTTTACTATACATAATCCTTGAATTAATACATATGTACTGTAATATGTAGACAGTACATATGTAGTTTTTTTTCCAGTTCTTGGTTATAGTGTATTAGTTGGAAAATAGGAAAAAAAAACATTTTCTTATGAGATGGATTCAAAATGGAGGGCAAGTGCTATATATAGAAGGCCTTGGGACATGATTAATGAACAGGAAATGTTGCTTTAGTGATTGGAATGAATTTTTAAATTCACTTTGCATAGTAGTTCTGATGGCTGAGTAAGCAGTTTCTTGGCATTAGTGGAGAGCACAGATGGCATTCTAGTAAAATAGTCAAGAATTGAGCAGAATCACTGTTGTGTAAAGTTCCAACTTTATGCCTCTGTAATTCTGAGTGAATATAAAATTTTGCATTATTTGAGGCATTAACTTTAGGAAAAGGTTCTCCACCATTCTAGAGGATAAAATTTTCTTTTAAATTCTTTTTTGAAGGGGACTTTCAGTTTGCAATGTGTCAACAGTGAAAGGGTTAAAGTTGTTCTACAGATCTCCTAATTTATCTTCACTTTGGGTTTCTATTCATTTTTTGTCCATGTACTTTTGCTAAGCATTAAGTAATCTGTTTTATCTATTAATATTCATTCTTTTTAATTTTTTTTTCAGAACCTAAAGAAGCAAGCAGAACGTCGAGAGCAGTTTACAGGTGGAGTGGTGAGTGGAGAGCTTCCACCTGGTGCTGTTGCTGGCCATCACCAGGGATCTGTTCTCTTAGCAGATGAAGCAGCAGCAGCTCACACTTCTATTAGAGAATCAAATAGTATAAATGGTGAAGTAGCCATAAACTTGGGAAATGGTGGTGCTTACCATCAACAGCTACAGCTAATGGAAGAGCAGGATACATACCTACAGAGTCGTGCAGATACTATGCGCACTATTGAATCAACTATTGTTGAACTTGGTCAGATGTTCACACAGTTAGCCACCATGGTTAAGGAGCAAGAAGAACTAGTTCATAGGTAAGTAGAGAAAGATTAAGGTTTTCACTGTAATAGAAATTGTTCTGGGGCTTAAAATGCATTGTGGAAGCTGTAAGTATTTTAACTGAATATTAACAAAGTAGCACTTGATGTCCAAGACTCAGTGCTTTGTATGAAGACATATAAATTATACATTTATGATAAGAGTGAATGGAGACAAGTGGTTTTTGGAACCTGACGAGGTGTTGGAGCGTGAGCAGGGTAACATTTTGTTAAGGGATTCAGGGAAACCGGTTAGCTGGACTAGAGTCCAGCTAACCAGTTTCCCTTCTGTTTTTAAACTTGAGTAACTGACTTGGAATTAATAGACACTATGCAGTATTAAACTAGAAAGTACTGCAACACCAGGACATGGAATGGCCAGGAATGTGTTAGGCATGGTATGAAGCAGGCCACAATGATTCCTTCAAATGTTATAAATGTACAGCATACTATTACAGTAGGGCCCTGGTTATATGGTATTTATGGTAGGAAGTCAGGTGTGGTAGCCCACCCGGCTACCACACCTCGCAGTTGTTTTGTTTATTTTAGTGATTGTATATGTTTTTTTTTTTTTTTCAACAAGTCGGCTGTCTCCCACCGAGGCAGGGTGACCCAAAAACGAAAGAAAATCCCCAAAAAGAAAATACTTACACAACATATCCCTCCAAACTGCCAATAATAATATGTAATGTATTTATTATATAATTTTGAAAAAATGTCATTGATGGATTAATGAAAATAACATAATACACGACATTAAAACGCCCCAGTGTGATTATTATGCTTATTGCCATCGACATACCTTGTTCAGAGTTTAATCTTTATAACTTGGCATTTAAAATAAGAGGCTTACGACTCCTCTTTTTAATAACATTATTATTGTAAATGAGAAACGTGGAGAATGTAAACAAACTTGAGGGTGGTCAGACTAATGCTTTTAATACTTGTCCAGTTGCTGTTCATACATGTTCATCATGCATTCATTTGTGAAGCTTTTACCCCACAATAGAAATGCCTTACATTGTGTACAATTTGTCTTCACATTGGTGCAATAGAATAAATAACAGCATCACTCCCATTCTCATACAACATGCCATTTTTAGAGTGAATGACACTGAGTGAAGGCATACAAAAGGAATATTTTTCTAGAGTTACCCCAGTAATACCATATTGTATACATCTTCTCTGATGTCGGACTAAAGATAATGAAATTCATGCCGTCACTCCTACAAACCGCCTGGCTAAACCTCTCATATTTGTTAATTTGTTCTATGATTGTATTATGTTTATATACATAGCACCCTGCTTTGGTGGGATACAGCCGGTTTGTTGAAAGAAGAATATCATAAGTGTGTTATATAATTTTGAAAAAATATAGCTGGATTAATGAAAATGTCTATAATAACAATATACAACATTTAAAGCGCCCTAGAGCGATTGTTATTATTAATATGGCATCTTCAACACTACTGAGATACTCTGTGATTTTAATATAAACATGCACACCAGCACAGTGTGTAACTTTATTTAGTTATAGGTACATACACAAGTATAATTATCAGAGTACAGTGGAACCTCTGTACTTCCAGAAGGCTGTTAAAGTACTGAACGAATTTTTCCCAACCAATTTTCTTAGGCCCCCATAGTTACATGTATTTATACAAATAATGTTAAAAAAAAAAATGCGAAGAAACACGTCCACGTTAGCACATTGCCATAAAGCTGGGTCCTACTGTATAAGCAACTGAAACTTGTGTGCTTTTATGGGTTTGGCATTTAAATTTCTTTAGTAATGAGATGAGCAATTTAAAGGGGATATTAAAGAATTAATTAGTGCACAATACATCAAAGTTCCCAAGCCAGTCATCTCCCTTCTCCCATATAATGAAATTTCTATGGATGTCACTTTACCTTTTATTTGTTAGCATTTGATAATGATTATAGTTCTTAAATTAAAAGGCTACAGCATTCAAAGACCATGCCTCATTCCCATTTTCTATTCATTGGCCTTGTACTTTTGACTTTTAAATACCCATCAAAGCTTCTATAACTTTCCAAAAGTAGTAACATGAGCAATAGTGACATGCATTTCTCAGCACTAGCAGTCACATCTTTGACAACTCTAGAAAGACAACAGAACCACAGTAACATCACATATTTAAAAAAAATTTTCTGGAAGATATTAACATTTTTTTCTAGTACATAATCTTAACCTAAGCCTCTCGTAGCACACTTCATATTTTAATTTCTTTTCTAGCTGTTCCATAATACATTTGCAACACCAGCCTTATGCAAATCCATAAAGGCTACAAACAAGATATTTAGTCATCTGGTGTCATTTTTATAATCTCCCATATTTCTCCAAACTAATTTGGTAGTGAATGCTAATTTTCACCTTTGTGTGAAAAGTCATGTAAAAGGGGTGTTGCTTCACAGCATCCCTTTCACATGGAATGGAGAGGGAAAACTAAGTTTATAGATTTTTTTTGAGTGCTCAGATATTGATTCTCCCTAAATAATTTTTTTTTTTAATTCTCATATTTTGTGCATGATATAATTTAATATTTTGATCTTTGCAGAATTGATGCTAATGTAGGTGATGCTGAATTGAATGTTGAAGCTGCTCACTCGGAACTTCTTAAATATTTTAAGTCAGTCTCATCAAATCGAATGCTGATGATTAAAGTTTTTGGAATCATGATAGTCTTCTTTGTTATTTTTGTTGTTTTTATGGCATAATGTGATATTTATATATTAATTGGTAAGGCCTTGTACAGTGGATTATGTATAATCAACTTATGGAACTTTCATAAATGTTAAGATAATTTGAAGAGATGTATGGAGAGAAGTTTTTATAGCTATGTACCAATACATGTGAACATAGATATCTATCAGATTACATCTAAAAAATGCCAAATTAATTGTTAAATGCTTGCTCTCCATTCTTCAGTGACTATTTGTATAAATATATACATACATATTCTGCAAGCTTTGTATTAATCTGGTAACTTTTTATGATTAATGAAAATGTTCCTTTAATGCTGTGACAACCATTCCTTAAATAGTCTATATAATTTCCCCATCTTCATTTCCAATTTGGTAAACAATGTACAGTATTATAGTGCATTTCCCCCCATTACTTAAACCAATCTTTCTGCTGTCATGGTTGTACAGGAGTATTTATATATATGCATGCTTAATAAATATAAAAATTATTGCAGATTAGTAGCATTAGATTCCTTTTATTACTGCACATGGAGACACTGGCATTATGCCAATAAGTGGTGAAAGTGTAGTCCTTTATTGTAACAATCCCTCCATCACTGGACTTGTCCAAGTACGTATTATACATGGTGGTTTACACAAGTCTATGGAGCAACATGTATTTGTGCACTGTTTTGAGCCTATTGGTCCATTCTTTGCTTGATATGCACTGTGGGAGCAGATAAAGTAAATATCTCAAGTGTTTGTTGGTTTAATAACACTTCAAAGCATCTCGTGTGTTCCTGGTACAGAAGTTCAGCCGTTTCGTATTATTGGTGGTATTTTTATAAAGAGCATGTTCCTGTAGACAGACTGGTAGACTGTCTCCCTGATATATGCTTGGTCATACCCTACTCTGAATTTTGTATACCTTGTCATTCTTTGAGACCTGATGCCATACACCAAGCCCAAGAATGTTGGGGGGTATATAAAATTGTGTAGCTGTTAACCAAGAATATACCAGTGAGATAGCTTTGACTTGACCAGTCTGTTCACAGAAAGATGTATTCTTCATAAAAGAAACTGGGATAAAGCTGAACTTGATTCCAGGCATCTGTTTCTGGTAATGATTTGTTAATAAACTAACCAACACATCAAACAAAAGAGAATGATTACCTTAACTATTCCTGTAGTATATATTGCACTAAAAAAAAAAAAAATGAGCATAGGCCACCAGCCCTCTATAGTCCATCAATCCATGCTCTAGTAGCTTATCCTAAAAAATATGACCTCACATCCTTGGGATTACACAAGCCATTATCTTTCATATCAGATATATACTTGAATAAACCCAGTTATTAGTACATTACTCGAGGACTCTTCTGCATTATTGTTTTCACCCTATTTTTAACCACCACTACAGGGAAGTGCTAAACTCAAAAAGCACCTAGGACAGTTATTACTCGGGTCTAATTCACGAAGAGGGGTAGCTCCAGTTCCATGAATGAAAAGCCCTTTAATGACATTATCCGGAGATTCCTATTAAATACATAGGTTATTTTGAAATTATTATTGCAAACCATGTTAAGAGTTATAGGTCACTGAAACAGTCTCTTGAATACAATAATCACCACCACTAGGATGTCACTTGTTTTATCATATACAGCATCAGGATTATAATTTCTTACCTGCACAGTCAAGTAGAAGTAATTAATATACTGGAAGCAGAGATGTTTGTATGCTCAAACCCAAGCCTTGATACTTAGAGGCAGGTGGGTGGAGTTGTATACATGGACCAGAAATGAGGTGTGGTAATTGATGGCATCACAGGAAAAATGCCCACCTGTGAAGCTATCAACTGTCCCACCTTATTTCTGGTCCAGTATATGAAGTTCCATCTATATGCCTTTACTTCAATGCTATGGATCTGTCCACTTTTATCAAGGCTGAGGGTTGGAACACCTCAAAAATCTCCAGTATATTAGTGTACCATACAAGCAAAATGTCTTGACAATGAAGCTAATTGTATTGCACACTGCACAGGATGTGTTGAGACTGAATGGGAATACGTTTTATTGGAAAGCACTAAACCCTTAACCCTTTGACTGTTTCAGGCCCCTTTCTGAAACTGTCATTCTATGTTGCTAAAATTTTGAAAAAAAAAAAAAAAAAAAAAAAATTATTCTTTCTTAGGAAATGATAGAGAATCTTTTCCCAATGGTAATGACACCAAAAGTTCGAGATTTGGTCGAAAACTCACGGAATTACGCTCCCGCGAAGTCAGCGGTCTCGGCGACATATGCGTATCGACTTTGAGCCCTATTTTCAGCCAATTCCGTTGTTCCAGTTGACCAAACTCATAGCTATTTCTTTAGAACTCCATTTTATCTATCTGCTGAGTACAAGAAACCTCCCATTTACCAATTTGGACTACCCAATATTGTGGTCAGAAATTGGCAATTTGGCCAATTTCACTCAAACTAAATATGCCAATTTCAAAATAGGGTCCAGAATAAACAAGGTAGACATTCTTGGCACTAAAATAACATATCCTCTGTTCATTAGTCACACCTCTAGGCCCCTCTTATATTATTGCTTTCTATTTCGATTTTTTATTCATACAAAATTTACTGTTATGCAGACTACTGCATTATTGTAAAAATGGTATAAATAATATCAGTGCACTAGTGAAAGAATATTAGACTCCCCAGTTGACATGTGGTGTGATTTGTTTACTCCTGAACATTGGTAAAAATCGAACATTTCCGCTACTTTGAGCTCAGTTTCAAGGTCGTTTTCATCATCAAAGTAATGAAAATCATCTCTATTTCTGTAATATGTTTTCCATTTTATCACCAAAGACCATGAAAACGCAAATACATCGATAAATACTATACGAAAATACACCTCAAAGTCAGCGTTTTAACCCCTTCAGAGTCCAAGGCCCAAATCTGAAGTGGTGCCCCAGTGTCCAAGAATTTAAAAAAAAAAAAAATTTTTATTTTTTCTTATGAAATGGTAGAGAATCTTTTTGTGAAGGTAATAAAACAAAAAGTACGAAATTTGATGGAAAATTGACGAAATTATGCTCTCGCGAATTTTGACGTGTCAGCGATATTTACGAATCGGCGATTTTTGCCGACTGACTCCCATTTTAGGCCAATTACATTATTCCAGTCAACCAAATTCTTAGCTATTTCACTAGTATTACTTCTGTTCTATCGATTGAGTACAAGAAATCGCCAAGTCAACTGTTTCAACTACAAATTAAAGTGATCGGAAATTGTTAATTTGGCCAATTTAACACAAAGTTCAAAATATTCCAATTTCAAAATAGGCTCCAGAATAAACAATGTAGGTATTCCTGGAACTAAACTAACATTTCCTCTGTTCATTAGTTACGTTTTGAGGCTTTACAAATAAATTCCATTTTGATTTTTTATTCACATAATGAATTTTTATTCACACCAAAAAATAGAAGATTTATTGTTATGCAATACTGTAATAATTGTATAAATATCATCACCATATTTGTGAATGCATATTAGACCCACCAGCTGGTGTGTATTAGACGTGTGAGGTCGTTTGTTTACTCTTGAATATCGTCAAAAATTTAACATTTCTGCTAATTTGAGCTCAGTTTCAAGCCATTTCCAGTGCTAAAACCAATCAAAATCATCTCTATTTCTGTAATATGTCTTCCATTCTATCAAATGAGACCAAGAAATCGCAAATACAACTATAAAAAACATACAAAAAACACTGCAAAGTCGCTGTTTTAATCGAAAAATCATGATTTCAGTTTTTTTTCTCTCATTATACACAGTGTGCTGCAGGATCTGTTTTATGTGGTGCACACATACCACATAGATGTATTCTCTAATATCTAGGCCCAAATGTGCCACTCACAGTTTATCAGAGTGAGCTGAGCTCATGACGTAGATCTACGGTTTGGACCCTGAACGTAAAGCCGTAGATCTACGGGACGGACCCTGAAAGGGTTAATCCAAAAAAACGATCAGTGTTTTTTTTTCTCATTACGCACTGTGTGCTGCAGGATTTTTTTTATGTGGTGCACACTGACCACACAGACCCATTCTCTCACATGTGGGCCTACCAGCTTTCTTCCGCTTGATTTGAAGCCGCTAGAATTATTGAGTATATATATGTCTGAAACACTGGCTCGTAAGACGTATATATGCGACCAAAACAGTCAAAGGGTTAAGGATCATACAGCACCTGGAAAACTGGATGTAATCAAAACTGATCCTAGTAGAGGGTGGTTATAATTACATCACAGCAGCTCCATTGTTGCTCCCAAGGTAAATAGATTATGAAAAAGCACGTTATGCTACCAATAAGTGACAATCAAAATGGAGAATGGGAGGCATTCAGGTTTAATAAATGAAATAGGAGGATAAGTCCAGGTCCTGGAATTGGAGACCCAGCATCAAGGAACACTTGAAAGGGGATCTCTCCTTGAAAGAATAGTGACTAAGTGTAGAGCAAATACATACTGCGTTCACAGAAGCTCTACACCCATATCTGTGCTCCAGTTCCCTGAATACCTTCCATCCCCCCACAGGCACTGTATAATCCTATGGGTTTAGTGCTTCCCCTTAATAATAACCTAAACCCAAAGGAGTGATACAACACCTAGGGAATGGGAGGTAATCAAGCTCAATTAAAAGGGGCAATCAGGTCCATATCTGTGGATCGAGGAACCTCCCTCAAGGGAGGAGTGCTGTATAATGACAGTTTCTAAAGGGTCAGTGGGAAATTTCAATCCTATTATGACCTTGGGTGTTAAACAACACCTGGGGAATGGCTTAATCTGAGATCACTTGTACTCTTGATAATTATATATATGAACACTAATCAATACTACAAGGGATGATATGAGAATTACCACACTGTTCTATACATTAACACAATGAGCACCGGGTTCCATATGCAATGAAGTCTCGCACTTTGGAGGTAATATTCCTGAAATTTACGTATGTAAAATCATTGTCAAGTAAGGGAAAAAATAATTTTGATACTTACATTGTAGCTGTTCCTTGGTGATCTAGAAAGGTATAGAGATAGTTGGATGCAACTAGTTCTTACCTTAAGAGCTAGATGTCAGTGGAGTGTTACTGGGCCAAGTAGTCATCTTGGGCTCTTGAAAAATCAGTCTTCTACCCTCATGTTGTCAAATTATACTATGTACTACATTCATATTGCTCTTTCATAATTTTACCAGTTTGTGTAGTTCACCCATGCCTTGTGATGTTGAATGGCAAAAAAACATTGAGGCAGTTCAACTGGAAGTATCTGCTTGTTGTAATAAGGCAATCACCAGCTGACTGGTGATTGCCTTATTACAACAAGCGAAACTCCACACAAAGAAATGATTAAATTTTGAAAATTATTAGGTAAAAGGTCATATTAAGTTCACATCTTTGTGGTTATTAGTCAAGACAAGCTCTAAATATATCTGGCTTATTCAGTATAAAACATGACAACGCCTATATTGGTGTGAGCAAAAGGCAAGTGTATTCTCGGGGTTACTGAACCCCCAAAAGCATAGAATGGCTTTTTGTAAAGGAACACAATAGTTTAACCCTTTGACTGTCGAAGGGCCAAATCCTGAAGTTGCTTCTGGTGTCGCAAAATATTCGAAAAAAAAAAAAATTATTTTTTCTTATGAAATGATAGAGAATCTTTTCCCGATTGTAAAGACACCAAAAAAACGAAATTTGATGGAAAACTGACGGAATTACGCTCTCGCGAAGTTAGCGACTTCGGCGATATTTAAAAATCGGCAATTTCGCCCACTTTGAGCCCTATTTTCGGCTAATTCCGTTATTCCAGTCAACCAAACTCATAACTATTTCTTCAGAACTCTATTTTTTCTATCGATTGAGTACAAGAAACTGCCCATTTACCGATTTCAACTACCCAATAACATGGTCAGAAATTTGCAATTTGGCCAATTTCACGAAAATTAAAAAATACGACAATTTCAAAATAAGGTCCAGAATGAACAATGCAGACATTCCTGGCTCTAAAATAACATTTTCTTTGTTCATCAGTCATGTCTCCAGGTCCCTGTGATATTACTCTTGCTTTTTTATTTTGAAATTTTATTCAAACAAAAAATAGAAGATTTACTGTTATGCAGACTACTGCAATACTGTAATAATTGTAAAAATTACATCAACCCATTCATGACTGCGTATTAGAATGGCTATTTGGACATTTATTGGACAATGACATCATTTGTTCACTTTTGAACATCGGCAAAAATCAAACATTTCCTGTACTTTGTGCTCCATTTCCAGGTACTTTTTATAGTAAAATTAATCAAAATCACCTCCATTTCTATAATATAGTTTCCATTCTATCAAATGAGACCAAGAAAACGAGAATACAACCACAAATACTATACGAAAATAGACCACAAAGTCGGCATTTTAATTAAAAAAAACGGTCGGAGTTTTTTTTTTCTCATTATGCACTGCGTGCTCCAGGATTTTTTTTATGTGGTGCACACTGACCACACAGACCCATTCTCTCACATGTGGGCCTACTAGCTTTCTCCTGCCTGATTTGAAGCCGCTAGAATTTATGAGTATATATACGTCAAACACGGTACCTCGCAAACGTATATATACGGCCGCGACAGTCAAAGGGTTAACTACCTTCAGAATGTTTAAAATTTACTAGGCTATAATTCTGTAGCTTAACCCCTTCAGGGTCCAAAGCAAAAAAAAAAAAAAAAAAAAAAAAAAAAAAAAAAAAAAAAAAAAAAAAAAAATCTTACAGAATTAAAGAGCATATTTTTGTGACGGTAATAAGACAAAAAAAAAAAATTCTGATCAGTACTTACCGAGATACAGTGCCAAGAACTTTGTCCAAAATGATGTGGCAGCAACATCGGCGAATTCCACATACGCGCATTACATTATTTAGCAGTTTTTATAGTTTTTCCTTTTCTTTTCCAATTCTTTTCTTTTCCTACTAACATTTGGGGCCTGAGAGACCAATACTGTATATAATGTATATATATATAAACTCACTATTGAACACAATAACTGCACTAAAGTTATTATGATATTGTTTACCACTGTTGTTTACAATAAACATGCACAAATCTTGTATAATACTAATGTTCTATCATATATTTACATATTTACAATCACTGGACATGGTTTTAGAACTGCTGGAGCTTGTGGAACTCCTTGAAACAAGGCACCATGCACAGAGGTACCTTACATTCCTCACACATAAACCGAGTGTCTTTGCGTCTTTGTTGCCGTCATTTTGTTTGTGCACAGACGATTCATCTCTTCTGAGTTGAAGGAAGCTGTATTATGAAATGATCACCTTCCCTCCTCAAACACTTGGGTATATCCTGAGTAATTCGAGGACCTTGTTGTATAGCAGGTGTTCTTACCTGGTACTTCATTATGAGTTGTCTGACAACAGACAAACAAAACTCACCATACGGTGGTCTATTGCCAGTCTTTATTTGGTACATATTATATGCATTGAGTATTGAAATGTCCATGAGATGGAAGAAAAGTTTCATGCACCACTTGTAACTCTTACGAACACAGTCAACAAAACCAATCTGCATGTCACATTTGTCAACCAATCAATCAATCAGTCACTGGTTTTCGAATGCGTTCATTAGTCACTCGATCAACTTTGCCACTGTCTTGCATTTCATTACGGTGAATGGCTGTCAACAATGTGACATCTCGTTTGTCATGCCACCGTAATGCCATGATGTCATTGGCAGTAAACACCTGCACGTCACACCCACAGAAACCTGCATTGACCTGGGCATTATGTTAACAATTAGAACGCACTGTGCCACACACATCTGTCTTGTTCACTCGCATGAAATCACTGAGTAATGGGCTTGTGTACCAGTTATCAGTACATAATGTATGCCCCTTACCAAGATAAGGTGCCATCATGTTTCTCACTTACATCACCTGAGATACCCAATAACATCTTGGTATCTTTCAATGTTTTACTTCCCGTGTATACAACATATCCAACACCAGGCCACTGTCCCCAGTCACAGAGTACAAACAGTTTTATACCAAGCATTTCCTCTTGCTCGGTATATTACTGCTTTAATGACAGTCTACCTTTGAACAAAATCAAAGACTCGTCAATTACAGATTCTTGAATGGATAAAAGTATATGCTGAACTTTTGTTTGAGATACATGAAAACATTTCTAAATCTTGTATAACCTGTCACTTCGTCAGGCCTGGTTTTGTCAGAGAAGTGCAACATACGTAAGAGTAAGATAAACCTGTTCACTGGGTGATTTCACTGAAGACCGGGGTAAAATTAGCCAATCTGTGGGCCAGTATGCTTTTATATTAGCTATAGACCCTGAGGCATAAGCAGTATTGTTGCAAAAAGCAAATACATTTCTGCAACAGTCGTATTTGCCATGGTGTACTCAAAATACTTATTACTTTCCCTGACAATAGTTTCCATCAATGGCTGGTCAAAGAATAATTCAAAGAAATTTCCCGTTCATTGGCTGTGGTTCCAAGGGGGCAAGTAGTAGAATTCCACTTTTAGAGTCATCAAAGTGGTGAGGCTTGGGAACAAAATTGGGATTTTGCTGCCAATCCCAGATACGGTTTGCTGGTGGATACTGGACATCATAGGCTGGTTGTGCGGGTGGTTGTGGTGGGCTGGTGGCTGACGCTCTGCTTTGACCTTGAACTGAAAGAGTCAGCAGCGTGGGTCCCAGCCTTTGCTGGTGAGTCACGCATGCGGTGCCACTACCATCACCACTACCACCATCCACTGATGCCTGTGGTCTATCCCTGCCAAGTATAGCCACATCTCCTCCACTATCACTATCTAAAACTGGTGTAGGGCCCGGGATGTACTCTGGATGTAAATCCGTCCCCTGGCACAGCATAAGGGTACACTACCCGAGCGCATGCGGCGGCGAACATACCGATGCTTCAAATGGTGAATATGATTCCTCACTATCACTACTCAAATGATCGTCAAGCGCAATTAAAATCAAAATCCACGTCACTATCAAACATCATTACTGAAATCAGAGGGCCTGCCACGCGAAAATATTAGTTTTCTCTTGGGTGAGGCACAACCGACCGTGGGTCACGAGTGCCCACCAGAGGTAGAAGGTTGAGGATCGTCAGGTTTTCTGCACTATTATCGATATCCTGGTCATTCCTTTCGGTCACTAACTGATCAAAGCCATAGAATTCGTCTTCATTTCCACTTCCATCAGTGTCAGAACTATCAGATAGGAAGAGGAGAGTCCCAATTTTCCGGGGAGTGAGAGCTGACTTGCGACGAGGCATGGTGAACAAGGGTAACTGAGCCGGCGTTCCCACAATGCTATGCGGACGCCTAGATTTTTTGTTTATGGCGCACACCCACCACGTAGACCCGTTCTCTCACATGTAGGCCTATGAGCGCTTTCGCACTAAATTTGATGGCGCTAGAATTTTGGCGTAGATCTACGGTTTGGACACTCAACGTGAAGCCGTAGATCTACGGGACGGACCCTGAAAGGGTTAAAGCCATAGTAATGTATATCAAATACAATATATAAGGTTATTTTACACATTAACTTGACAAGAAGCCATACTAGGAACAACTGACCGTATATAATATTCTTTAATTTTACTTTCAATCCCAATACACATTTCCCTATCAGATCCTGAGCTGAAGTAATTTTAAAATCTCAATATCAATGTCTTAAGACAGGGATTTAATACTGAAACTGTACAATGGAATATATATTTACATTTTATTAGAAGTTACCTAAAGTTGAAAGCCAAACTTACATCATTCTTGGTAAATACCATGTATGCTGTGAAAATGGTATCCAAAATTCATCAATGGGGAGGTCACTCCATGGCTCCAGAGGTGATTAAGGAGTGAGGTAATGGACTCTTCCGGAATGTGTACAGTCGACTTGCCATGCAGAGACCTCCCAGTCACGTCCATTGCTATAAAATTTGTGCTACCAACTTCACCCTTTCATACTTAATTTTATCATTCTCATGGTCTCAAAATAAATTTTCATGTTGGCACACAACTCATTTGCACCATTTGTAAGGAATGCACAAAAAAAAAAAAAACTATTAACTAAGTCACATCTGAAATAAAGCAATACATTTAAGGGACTCCTTTTGGTTTGGGGGAAAAAAAAAATCACTAATTTGGTTAGGAGTAACAATGTGTTTAGTTTTAATCATAATAGTTATCATAAAATTATTTAGTATTAACTATTATTAGCGTTTTCCATTATTATAGTTAATAGCTCTCATAGGTGCTTTAAAATTTGCTGCTGCTTGTTGCTGAATCTGATATGCCATTGGATGTATCTTGAAACCATATAGCCGGGGTACAAACTGGTTAGCAGGCCTCTTTGGTCTATACTCTGGATGGACCATAAAAAGCATGTGTGGAAATCCTGTACCAAAATATGCTCCATCGATATGATGATGCCTTGAAGATTTTGGTGTGTATACATCACAGCATTTTGGACAGTAGAGCTTCACCATAGCCTCACCAGGAACATCACTCAATCCAATAGGCAGCATGGGCTGAAAAGAAATTATGTATAAAATGAAAACAGCTGCCAACAAGACAAATATCAGAACCGACCTATGATTTACATGTATATGTCCAGACAATTAACTCCAAATAGCAGAGAAACAGCTTGAGATCAACTATCATTCAAGTCCAATAAAATGAAACTCATCATTTAGTGTCATTGACATACTTAAATGAGCAGTGATAATATGTTTACACTATCATATATTAAGTCAGCAATAGAACTAGGAATAAAAAAATAAATACACACAGTAGAACGTCCATATCAATGGATGCGGTTTCTGTTATCCACGGTGTACCGTGGCTTAAAAATAACCCTTAATTTTGCTTAATAATTGCACAAAAGTTGTGATGGTGGCAGTTCTTCAAAGCCTAAGAGAAGGTGTGAAGTGCTTCCCATCAGTGAAAAAGTGCTAATTCTTGACTTATTATGCATAATTTATCAGTTAAACTTTTAGCATAGGTATGAATGTAAATAAAAAAAGGACTTATATATAAGGTTTGCTACTATCCAAAGTAGGCCTTGGAATGTATCCCCCACGGATAAGGGGGGACTACTGTACCTTAAAGTATTTGTAGTCTTAATGTAGGGTGAGAGATGAGTAGAATTTACTGTAGGAAGTCATAGATGGATTAATGAAAATATCTATAATAATGTAATAGACATCTAAAGTGCCCCAGAGCAATTATTATGCTTATTGCCACTGACATACCCTGTTCACAGTTTAACCATTTCTAACTTGGCATTTAAATAGGCAGAGAGTGAACAGGTGGTGGGTGGTCAGACAAACACGTATTAATACCTGTCCACTTGCAGTTCACATGCATTCATTTCATATTATGCATGCATTTGCGAAACTTTTTTTTCCCCACAATGCAAACAGCCTACATCATGTACAAGTTGTCTTCATGTTGGTACAGTAGAGTAAATAACTCTCACATAACACACCATTTTTAGGGAGACAGAGTGAAGGCATACAAAATCCATCATAAGTGGGCTAACAAAATTGTCTATAATAATGCAACATACAACATTTATAGCGTCCCTGAACGATTATTATTATTAGAGCCTCTCCTCACTTAACAACGGAGTTCCGTTCCTAAGATCAGGTCGATAAAAATTAATTGTTAAGCAAGGAGCATACTATAATGGTAGTGGGTTTATGTCAACCATTTCTGATATTTATAACATTTTTAAATGTTTATACAGTAGCATAAACATAACGGAGGAAATCAGCTCTAATATACATTATTTAGGGATGCATACTGGTCAGAGAGTCCATCGTACGTCAAAGTCATTGGTAAATGAGTATGTTGCTAAGTGATGAGTGGCTGTACTCAATGTAACATGTGACTCTCATATTGCTAAGAATTCAACTATAAAAACCTAATTAAACATACCTGATTCTCACAATAAACTCTTGGACAATGACCAAAGTCACCAGCCTGATACTTCTCAATCATTTGCGCAATACCTCTGTTTGTAAGGATGTAACGTGCGTGTATGAGACCATACAGCATCTCAGCTGCCTGCTCTATAAGGTCACTCTGGTGGGGAATCTCTTCCTCTTCATCTGGCAGAAATAATTATGATTATAATAACTATGACAACCACAATAATGAAAGTTGCTTAAAACTGTCAACAATAAGCACAAATTCTAGTTATTTTCCCAATATATTAATAGCTATCATTTGTATAAAATAAAACAATAATACCTGGTTCAAGGTCAAGAATCATATCGAGGGCTTGGCGATAATGAGGAACCTGCTCATTCAGGCCTGTTAGGTTAAACTTATCTTGAATGTAGTCCTCATCCACCTAAAACAGAACATGAGTAATTAACTGAAATTCCTGTATCATGAAAGTTTAACCCCTTGACTGTCACAACCCCCAATCCTGAGGTGTCTCTTGGTGTCGCAAAATTTAAAAAAAAAAAAAAAAAAAAAAAAAAAAAAAAAAAAAAAAAAAAAAAAAAAAAAACTTATGAAATGATAGAGAATCTTTTCCCGATTGTAATGACACCAAAAGAACGAAATTTGATGGAAAACTGACAGAATTACGCTCTCGCAAAGTTAGCGAGAGCGTAATTTACAAATCGGCGATTTCGCCCACTTTGAGCCCTATTTTCAGCTAATTCCATTGTTCCAGTTGACCAAACTCACAGCTATTTCTTTAGAACCCCATTTTTTCTATCGATTGAGTACAAGAAACTGCCCACTTACCAATTTCAACTACCAAATAACGTGGTCAGAAATTTGCAATTTGGCCAATTTCACGAAAATTAAAAAATATGACAATTTCAAAACAAGGTCCAGAATGAACAATGCAGACATTCCTGGCTCTAAAATAACATTTTCTTTGTTCATCAGCCATGTCTCCAGGCCCCTCTGATATTACTCTTGCTTTCTATTTTGAATTTTTATTCAAACAAAAAATAGAAGATTTACTGTTATGCAGACTACTGCAATACTGTAATAATTGTACAAATAATGTCAACCCATTCATGACTGCATATTAGAATGGCTAGTTGGACATTTACTGGACAATGACATCAATTGTTTACTTTTGAACACCGGCAAAAATCAAACATTTCCCCTACTTTGAGCTCCATTTCCAGGTTCTTTTCATAGTAAAACCAATCAAAATCATCTCTATTTCTATAATACGTTTTCCATTCTATCAAATGAGACCAAGAAAACAAGAATACAACCATAAATACTATATGAAAATAGATCACAAAGTCGGCATTTTAATTAAAAAAAAAAATAGATCGGAGTTTTGTTTTCTCATTATGCATTGCGTGCTCCAGGATTTTTTTCATATGGTGCACACTGACCACACAGACCCATTCTCTCATATGTGGGCCTACCAACTTTCTCCTGCTTGATTTGAAGCCGCTAGAATTTATGAGTATACAGTATATACGTCAAACACGGTGGCTCATAAGACGTATATATATGACCAAAACAGTCAAAGGGTTAATAGAATATAACCAATTCTCACTTTTTTAAAAATCTATTAAAAAAAAAAAACTAAATATGAAATACACGTTAATGGTCCCTTCACTTTATAAACTGCAGTCTCATTAAGTAAATAAACTATACATGTGTTAAGCAAAAAAAGAAAAACTGTAATGAGAACCCATTTACCTCACAGAAGAATTCATTTCCTCTAAGGCCACAGAACCACGCAATCCACGATACCTCTTCTGAACTGCTCATCTTGCTGCAAGGAATAAAAATTTTCACTCATTAACACACTATAAGTTTTGTATTTTAAATTTAACTATAACATAAAATTAACAAGCTATTATTCTTTGTTATTAAATGAGTAAGACCTGCCTAGCATGGACCAGTCAACTTACTGTAGTGCTCCCCCATTCATATGTTCTTACAACTGAGAGGGAATGGGTTTGAGAAAGAACTGCTAGCATGGGCTGATAGGCCTACTGCAGTGTTCCTCAATTTTTGTTATGGCACAGATAGATGCAGTTATGTGGAACTTGCATCAATGAAGCTTCCAGTAACACTACTTACCTGTTCTTATGTCTAGAAAAATTTCAATACAATCTCTTTAAAACACAGTACTAAAATATATATAGGTCTGCCACAAAAACAGACAGACATGTACAAAAACAGAGAAATAGGACATCAGTATCAAAAAGAATGAATACACTACATAATACCAAAAAGAATGAATACATTACATAATGGGCTAACAGGGAGGAGCAGGTGGTCAGTAACTAGGATTGTGAAGAATAGAGGGCGAGAGAATTTTGCCATAATCAAAATGGAGAATACACAAATAACCCGCACATAAAAGAGAGAAGCTTACGACGACGTTTCGGTCCGACTTGGACCGTTGCCAAAGTCACACTAACCAAGTCGGACCGAAACGTCGTCGTAAGCTTCTCTTTTATGTGCGGGTTATTTGTGTATCGTTCCAGTCACGGTATTGTGCCTTTTTTGTTATTTACAAAATGGAGAATTCTCTAACCAATGGACTTTGCCTGTTTCTGAATCAATTCACCCAGGATCTGCCTAGTATGGGCCAACAGGCCTGCTGCAGTGTTCCTCCTTTCTTATGTTCTTAAGAATATTTTGTCCCATATTTCCAAAGTCTGTTAAAATAGCAACTTGAGGCGTTTTTATGAATGTATAGTGGAACCTTGGTATGCAACCTTTATTCATTCCCGAAGGGAGTTCAAGTGCCACTCCGTTTGAGTATCGAACAAGTTCTTCCCAACCAATTTTGTTTGGTTGGCTGGTATCACTAATCGTCGTAGGCTCCATGGTGACTAGTTTATACAAATAACACCAAAAAATGCAAAGAAACACAAAATAGTTTACAGTGAAGTTCTGACAGGTCACATTTGTTTGGTCGAGTGCTGAGCTTTGTTCGAGTAGGGAACTGGTCATTTAATGAGGCTCCACTGTATTGGCTATTACTAGGAATTTTTATTGACCTAAGAAAAGCTTTTGACACAGTAGAGCACGGCATCCTACTCCACAAACTTGACCATTATGATATAAGAGGCCATGCGCTTGCATATTTCAAATCTTACCTTACTAATAGGTATCAGTATGTCACCATTAAAGACACATCAACAACACAGCCACTTGATACTGGAGTTCCACAGGGAAGTGTCCTTGGTCCCCTGCTCTTCCTCATATACATCAATGATCTCCCAAACGTATCTCAACACCTGAACCCCATTCTCTTTGCTGACGACACGACTTATGTCATCTCTCACCCTAATCTTGCCACCCTCAACACCATTGGTAACCCTTTCAGGGTCCGTCCTGTAGATCTACGGCTTTACGGTGAGTGTCCAAACCGTAGATCTACACCATGAGCTCAGTTCACTCTGATAAACTGTGAGCGGTACATTTGGGCCTAGATATGAGAGAATACATCTATGTGGTATGTGTGCACCACATAAAACAGATCCTGCAGCACACTGTGTATGAGAGAAAAAAACTGAAATCACGATTTTTCGATTAAAACAGCGACTTTGCAGTGTTTTTTCGTATGTTTTTTATAGTTGTATTTGCGATTTCTTGGTCTCATTTGCTAGAATGGAAGACATATTACAGAAATAGAGATGATTTTGATTGGTTTTAGCACTGGAAATGGCTTGAAACTGAGCTCAAAGTAGCGGAAATGTTAAATTTTTGACGATATTCAAGAGTAAACAAACGACCTCACACGTCTAATACACACCAGCTGGTGGGTCTAATATACATTCACAAATATGGTGATGATATTTATACAATTATTACAGTATTGCATAACAGTAAATCTTCTATTTTTTGGTGCGAATAAAAATTCATTATGTGAATAAAAAATCAAAATGGAATTTATTTGTAAAGCCTCAAAATGTAACTAATGAACAGAGGAAATGTTAGTTTAGTTCCAGGAATACCTACATTGTTTATTCTGGAGCCTATTTTGAAATTGGAATATTTTGAACTTTGTGTTAAATTGGCCAAATTAACAATTTCCGATCACTTTATTTTGTAGTTGAAACAGTTGACTTGGCGATTTCTTGTGCTCAATCGATAGAATAGAAGTAATACTAGTGAAATAGCTAAGAATTTGGTTCACTGAAATAATGTAATTGGCCTAAAATGGGAGTCAAAGTCGGCAAAATCGCCGATTCGTAAATATAGATGACACATCAAAATTCGCGAGAGCATAATTTTGTCAATTTTCCACCAAATTTCGTACTTTTTGTTTTATTACCTTCACAAAAAGATTCTCTACGATTTCATAAGAAAAAAATAACAATTTTTTTTTTTTGAAAATTCTTGGACACTGGTGCGTGACTTCAGATTTTGGCCTTGGACCCTGAAAGGGTTAATGAGCTGATCAAAATATCGACTTGGATGACAGCCAATAAACTTACGCTTAACACTGACAAAACCTACTACATTATGTTTGGAAGCAGAGCAGGAGATGCGCAAATTAACATTAACCCTTTGACTGTTTCAGGCCCCTCTCTGAAACTGTCATTCTATGTCGCTCAATTTTTGAAAAAAAAAATTATTTTTTCTTATGAAATGATAGAGAATCTTTTCCTGATGGTAATGACACCAAAAGTTCGAAATTTGGTTGAAAACTCATGGAATTATGCTCCTGCGAAGTTAGCGGTCTGGGCGACATATGCGTATCGGCGATTTCGCCGACTTTGAGCCCTATTTTCAGCCAATTCCATTGTTCCAGTTGACCAAACTCATAGCTATTTCTTTTGAACTCCATTTTATCTATCAGCTGAGTACAAGAAACCTCCCATTTACTAATTTGGACTACCCAATATGGTGGTCAGAAATTGGCAATTTGGCCAATTTCATGCAAACTAAAAAAGATGCCAATTTCAAAATAGGGTCCAGAATAAACAAGGTAGACATTCGTGGCACTAAAATAACATATGCTCTGTTCATCAGTCACATCTCTAGGCCCCTCTTATATTATTGCTTTCTATTTTGATTTTTTATTCTTACAAAAAAATACGAAATTTACTGTTATGCAGACTACTGCATTATTGTAAAAATGGTATAAATAATATCAGTGCACTAGTGAAAGAATATTAGACTCCTCAGTTGACGTGTATTGGACGTGTGGTGCGATTTATTTACTCCTGAACATTGGTAAAAATCGAACATTTCCACTACTTTCAGCTCAGTTTCAAGGTCATTTTCATCGTCAAAGTAATGAAAATCATCTCTATTTCTGTAATATGTTTTCCATTTTATCACCTAAGACCATGAAAACGCGAATACAACGATAAATACTATACGAAAATACACCTCAAAGTCGGCGTTTTATTCCAAAAAAAAAGATCAGAGTTTTTTTTTTCTCATTACGCAATGTGTGCTGCAGGATTTTTTTTATGTGGTGCACACTGACCACACAGACCCATTCTCTCACATGTGGGCCTACCAGCTTTCTCCCGCTTGATTTGAAGCCGCTAGAATTATTGAGTATATATACGTCAGAAACATTGGCTCATAAGACGTATTTATACGTCGAAAACAGTCAAAGGGTTAAGATCGACAACACTCTAATTGCCAGGCATAATGAGGGCAAATTCCTAGGCCTATACCTCGACAACAACCTGAACTTCAGCACCCATATCCAACACATAACCAAAAAAGTATCCAAAAACGGTTGGGATCCTCTCCAAGATACGATACTACGTGCCGCAAACTGCCCTTCTCACACTATACCATTCACTTATATATCCATACCTCACCTATGCTATCTGTGCTTGGGGTTCAACTGCAGCAACACACCTAAAGCCAATAATAACCCAACAAAAAGCCGCAGTAAGAATAATCACTAAATCCCATCCCTGGCAACACCCCCCCCACTCTTCATAGATCTAAACTTACTCCCTGTTCAGTACATCCACACTTACTACTGTGCAATCTACATCTACAGGACCTTAAATTCCAATATTAACCTTGACCTAAAACGCTTTCTTGATAGTTGTGACAGAACCCACAGGCACAACACCAGACACAAACATCTCTGACATTCCCCGTGTCCGACTAAACCTTTACAAAAATTCAATGTATGTCAAAGGCTCTAAAATCTGGAACACCCTACCTGAAAATTCTAAAACTGCAGACACATTCATCACCTTCAAAACTACCATCAGAAAACATCTTATCTCCCTGATACACCCTGTCAACTAATTACACGAATACCACCTGGTGGTTAACACTTACATTCACTCACCCATTTGACCATAAACAGAAATATCAATCTCAATCTCAAAATAATGAATCTTAACTAGTCATAAGTTGGCCTGTGATACTCCAATACTGAAACTATATACAGTGGACCCCCCGCATACCGTTGGCATCACATAACGTTTAATCCGCATACCGCTCGCTTTTATCGCAAAAATTTTGCCTCGCATACCGCTCAAAAACCCGCTCACCACTGTTCGTCCGAGACGCGTCCAATGTGCGCCCTTAGCCAGCCTCACATGTGCCGCCGGTGGCATTGTTTACCAGCCAGCCTCCACGGTAACATCCAAGCATACAATCGGAACATTTCGTATAATTACAGTGTTTTTGGTGATTTTATCTGCAAAATAAGTGACCATGGGCCCCAAGAAAGCTTCTAGTGCCAACCCTACAGCAATAAGGGTGAGAATTATGTACTATAGAGATGAAGAAAGAGATCATTGATAAGTATGAAAGTGGAGTGCGTGT